GACTGCTGATTTTCTTATTTTCAACAGCCACAGAGCCCATCTTCATATTTTATATGCAACTCATGGTGAGCAGAACTGTTACAGTCTTGGGAGAGAAGTAATGTTATAGAAGCATGATCATCAATCTGAACAAGGTTAGCACAACTTTCAAACCTTGAGTCATGATGATGTGACTTCATGCTAGCACAGCTATTTTCGACAAATAGAAAGTGTTCCGGTCTACCCAATGTCACTTCAAAAGGCTCGGGTCAACCCATGATATAATTTTCAGGCACTTTCCAAAGGTTTTTTTATTTGGGACTGTTCCTCCAGACTATTACAAATTTTGGGAAGTTTTCCCCTGACAAATCAACCATGGTGAGATTTGAACCTGTGTCTCATGGTCAGAAAGTGAATGTTTTAATGACGCACAAATGCCCATAATAATATGTATATATGTATGGGTATACATACATACATACAATACATCCTTATAATATATATATATATATATATATATATTATATATATATATATATATATATATATATAAATTTTTTATATTCAAGATATTTAAAGTAATTTCTAAGAAATTAATGTATTCTTTAGATGACATTACTATTTTATTTCTGAAAATTTTGGGAAAAATTATGTCTGCCAGTTTGTGTAAACTGAGAGACTTAATAAAGGAAATGTGTTCTCCAGGTCTGTTCGAACCTGCATCTCTATTGTTAGGAGAAACCAACATCTGATATAGAATACGCATACTTTTTAGCTCACTCAACCTAGGAAAGGGGATGCTGATTCAAACCTCTGCCAGAGAGAGCACATTCTCTTTATTAAGTCTTTTTATTTTGCAGTAGATATAATTCAGTGCTTAAAAAAAAAACAGAGTGTCTACTCAAGCATTGAAATCCACAAATTACTGTTTCATGTAGTAGGATATGGCTACATACATACATGCATACACAGACACACACACACACACACAATTAATTTGGAAAAGTTCATTACTTAACTGAGTGGTGTTGGTTCAGTCATGCCCACTACATAGTTTTGTGAGCACATCAAGATAAAACATGTTCATCTTTAGGCCACATGTCTTCTCTGTTTTCTCTCTCTCTCTTCTCTCTCTCTGTTATATATATATATATATATATATATATATATATATATATATATATATATATATATATGAAGAAATATTTTTAAGGTGTGCTATATTTATGGGATAGTTCTCAATATCAGAGATAAATAGATTTTGTAAATATAAAAGTGAACATTGAAGTCAACACTTAGAGGCTTTTAGACTGTTTCATGCCTTATTTAAAGCCAGAAAAATTTGATTTTAGAATTTTTTTATATATATATATATATATATATATATATATATATATATACACAACACACACTGGGGGTAACAGCATGAGATAATTGTCCATTCCACAAAATGTTTAATATACAAAAAACCACTAAACTAAGTGAGTTTCTTTTTCCCGGTTTTCAGATAAGATGTTTAGCCATCTTCACACCATTTTTCATAAAAATCACTGAAAAACTCTTTCAGTTATTCAACTAGAAAGGTTAAAATCGTTTTGAGTCAGCCATATTATGTCTTCTCAATTGAGCGATGGTGAGATGAAAAATATCATTCAGGCCTTCAGTAATGGTATCAACATTCATACTCTGACTTCCATCTTTAAACACCATTCAAGAACCATCAAGAGAATGGTGAATAAGTTTTAAAAAGAGGGAACAGTAGAGAGGAAAACTAGATCAGGAGGTCACAACAACAATAGGGATCATCATTTCAACTTAGAGCTAAATACATTCTTGTTGTTCAAAATAGAGTCCAATAGTATTATAAAAACCCTGGAGTACTCCAGTAAGATATCTTTAATCATTTCTAAGATGCAACAGTTCAAAGCTTAATCTGACAATTGGACACTTTTGCTGTTACACCTGGTATATACAGTGTCTCTGTATCTTTTCAATAGCAGTGGAGTTTTTCAAGGGTAGTATGACTTTAGATTATTCCTATAGATTTCATTGCTTATTGTCCATTTAGTGACAGATTTCTGATGAAAGCAAACCATCCTGCAACTCTTGCTGAGTAACCATTGGATTTTGTTTAATTTGACCTATTAATTTCTTCAAAGATCTTGAGGAAATATTCTGTGGAGCACCTGTTCTTTGGCTTTCAATAGTTTTGAGTTTTTATATCTTGCAATGAATGAACTAATCATAGTAAATAGAATATTCAGGTTATCTATTTCCCTGTAACTTTCACTTTCTTTCCAGAGCTTAACAATCAGTTTTTTTGTGAATTTGTCAATTCTTTACCTCTTTCCATGATGATAACCTTCTTGCATGAATATCAATTACAGAATGTTCTGTTTGTATTTTTAGGCTAAAAATAATCACAAGATAACATTATTGGAACATTCTAGAATATTCCACTTGAATAATCTAGAGTATTAAAGCAATTTAAATTTTTTAAAATCTGAAATTTTCAATGTACTTTTTTTATTTCTATTAAATCAAAATTTTTTCTGTTTTCTATGCATCTTTAGTTATGCATCTGTGTAGATTTAATTATATGAAAAGTATGTTTATTCATTAGTTGGAAATACAATAAATTAAAAATTTGTATGTGTATGAATATTTGTTTCTCCCCTTCTGTGTGTGTATATCTATCTATCTATAATTTCATAATTTTTTTTTTTTTTATAAGCAACTCGTTCCTTACAATTCCTTACGTTCAATACAGTTGTTTAACTGTATTGAAATTTGAGTAAGTCTTAAGCAATTCCACTATTGATATCAGTGTGGATTAAGTTACAGGGGAAAAAAGGAAAATGTAATATTAAACGATCCATTTATTGATGGATGGACAGACATCTAAGTTGTTAGCACTCTTTTTCACCAGTCCCCCTGAACCACATGTACACAATTTTTTTTTTATTATGAGCAACTGCCCTCAAATTTGACTAAATCTGAAGCAACTCCATTCTTGCTGTCAGTGTGGCTTCAGCAACTAAAAAAAAAGAAAGAAAAAACATAAAATTAAGCACAAAGAGTTGCTAAATATATTATTTTGTATTGTATTCAAGAATTCTATGATTTTAGTTAAATTGAAATATATTTATTTTCTAATTTTTTTAGACCCAAGCCTAAAAATATTTCTGTGATTCTAGTACTAATTCTTCTGTAACAATTAAGCAACTCAAGCACTGGTAAAAAACCCAACTTACTTACAAAAAAAATATGTGTATATTTCTTAAATTTGTATTTTGAAATTAAAACTAAACATGAGATTGTGTAGGTGGCATAATGGTTATTGTCACAAAAATTGGAATCAGCAAGTAAAGTTCAAATTCCAGCCAGGACAGTTGCATTCACTTTTGCACTTATCCCCTTTAGAAAAGCATGGACTCTTCTATTCTCTCAGCAGTTATGCATAAATAGTAGGGCAGACTGAGCTCTCTAGCTTTGGTAGGTAAATGAATTTAAAACTTTGGAGAAAGCAACAAGAAATTACTCCACATTTTTCCCTCAAAAGGTCATGGTAGTTAACAGATATTAAAGAAAGGAAACTATGGCAAGTCATGAATGACTATATCCTGAAAAGGCATGACATTTTTTTCTTTTAGTAAACAGATGGGGCATAATTTGAAGGTCTTAAATCTGTCTTTTTAAAACAAAATAAAGATTAATTCTTCTGTGTGCCATGTTCCTTCAGGATGTGGGTGACCATGACTCTCAACAAACTCCTATTCATCATAACTCTTAGAAACATTTGTCACTTTGCCTGGAGATTAATTGAGAATCCAAATTAGTAAAATTTACGACTGTCCCAAAATTAGCAAAATTTAGGGAAAAAATAAATGACTGGATTGAAAAAAAAGAATACCTCTCACAAAAAAAACCAAAAAAAAAAACCCTTAATGGTTTCTGTGGGGTACTTAAAGAATAAGTTGTGCATGATAAGTAATTTTATGATTAGGGTAATATATATCTAAATAACTTTGCAATCCATCTCCATTGGTGAATTACTTTTCGTCATTCCTGACAGGCTAAAAGAGGAAGTTTCTGTTTGGATCATTGTAACTCTCAGAAACTTTGTACTAAGCATTTAGTAAAAAAAAATAAAATGTCTTCTCTACTTGAGATGTCAACAAAATTCTTTTTGAAAACTTATAACTCACTTGTTTTATTTTACTTTTTTTTTATTTGTTCAAAATACTAAGAAACAGGAAATTTTTTTGTTAGAAACAAAGTAAACACTGCTGAACTGTTACATAATGTAAATCCTCCTATATGGCATTGAATACTGGACAGTTTTCTCACAGATGAAGAGAAGACTTGAGGTATAAGAAATATGGTTCTACATAAGGATACTGAGAATAACATGGACAGAATGTGTAAATAATGAAGAAGTTTTAAAGAAAATGGAAACAAAAAAAAAAACACTTGTACATAGAAAGAGACAGGATACATGAGTGTTGTGGTAGGATCCACCTAATTTGCATAGTGGAGTACCGACCATATAAATATGGTTGGTACCGGGAAGAGAGGAAGGAAACAAGAGATTCAACCAGAGACTCTGCCCGACTGCGACTCAGTCAACACATTCTCCAAGAACGGTCTTACAAGGAATATACAAAAAGACTATATGTAAATATTGTGTATACTTTCTTGTTTCAATACATTTTGTTCTAAGTACATTTTGTGTTGCATTATTATTCCATTCATTAGTCAAGTTTCAACAATGAGAAAAGATGACTTGGAGAATTTGACACTCACAGGATATATTAAATGCAAAAGGGATATGGGAAGCTTGTGTGAATGGATGGAAGAACTGGGTTGAAATGGATGGCAAAGAGACAAACATTGCTAAGAGCTTCAATGAATAGGAGATGGCCCACATCCTGAATGGACACAGCACATAGAAAAAGATTGGATTTGTATTTAGGCATTGACTGATTGATTTTTATTTGTTAACCTTAACCTATATCCAGAACAGAGGGAGAAATGGAACGGCGTCAAATCTTGGTCAATGAACTAATCAGCAAGGAGAAGAAACTAAACCAGGAGTTTAACAATGAAGGTGCTGGTGGATCCAGGTAAGACAATTGTTTTTCTTTGTTTCTATGTCAATAAGTTTCTTTATGGAATTCATTAATTCGGACGTATGTTCATATCTTTGTTTACCTTCCCTTATTAGGGCTTACGGTCAGCTCACGCTGAGAACAATCAGTTCTTATTTGATCACCAAAATACTGAGATAGGGAACATGGGGTACTGTAAGCAACTTCCTACAATCCAAAAATATGTTTTGGCTTTAAATGATAAACAAAGGGTTGATAAGCCATAAAAAAAAAAACAATCATTCATCGTTAGGTGACATGATACTGGATTTCTTAGATTACCTGTACCTCGATTTTTCAGACTTTGATTATTCAGGTGTGTAATGAAGAGAAAAAAAACAAAACCAACCAAACATTTTTTTTCAATTATCTGAAGTAAACCCATTCTAATATTTAATCTCTAATAAGCATTTTGAGAAATTAGAACATCATACTCAGCATTTGATGAAAAACACTGATAAAATTGGTTCAATTGATTCTTGTTAATTACTTCATTGTTTTCATACAAAGAAAATACATTTGAATTATCACAGCTTGGTCATGCCAGAGATTATGGCTTACGCATATGACACATGTCAGCAATACCTAGTTTCAAACACTAAAGCAATGATTATGTTTGACAGATATTGGTTGTACTTTCAACCACAAATATATCTACTTTAATCCAGCTTTAGAAGTTAAAGCCAGAAAAATGTGTGGTCAACCAGCAACAGATAAAAATTGACACATTTTTTTCATCAGACTTTGGGAGTTAGTAAGTAGAAAAACATTAGGCCAACTGGAAACCAATGAAAATTAACTCATTAAAACATTGCACAAAGTGTTTGAAAATGCTACTTGATGATAAAAATGTTAAATTTCTTTCAGAAAATTACTTTTTCTTCATTATTTTTTTGTAATTTAAGCATTCAATTAGCCAGAATTTTGAATTCTTCCAACATATTTTTTCAACTGTCCCAAGGTGTCTGTTTAATTGAGCAAGTACGGTATTTTTAATTGTTTTATGCCAGAGATTATGACTTACGTATGTGACACATGTCAACAATGCCCAAACACCAAAGCAATGATTATGTCTGACAAATGTTGGTTGAGCTTTTAACCAGAAGCTACCCTAATAAAATACATCTTTAATTCAGTTTTAGAAGTTAAAGTCAGAAAAATGTATGGTCAGCCAGCTACAGATAAAAACTGACACATTTTTTTCATCAAAAATAGACTAGATGAAACCTTGGAGAAAGCATTTAAAAATGTTTGATGATGTAAATGTTAAATTTTCTTCAGAAAATGACTTTTCCTCATTTTTTTTCCCACTATAATTTAGGTCTTCAGTTGTATATAACTTTGAATTATCTGAATATATTTTTTTCAACTTCTATTCCAAGATGTTTAGATAACCAATGAAGTACTATATAAAAAATTGACTTTCTCACTAATACCCATAAAAGGAATCATTAGAGTTTCAGAAGGAAATTCTAAAGAAAAAAAAGAACCTCTAGTAATATATAAATGTGTTTGGGATCCATGTTAGAGGGGGGGATATTTTATTTTTTTGTACAAAGTTGTTAGATTTTTGCACAATCTTTCAGGGTTTAATCTATCATTCGAGATACCTTAGCACATCCCCAGATGGCAGAGACTGAAACTATTCCAAGGTCATTTAATAATTTAATTTTAATTTTTATGGTCCAGATAGCACTTTTCTCTGCTGCCTGCTTCTCTTAGTGGGTCTAATAATGCCACTAAGATACAAGTAGTTACTGAGAGTGAAAGAAAAAGAGAAGACGTTAGTGAGGAGAAAAGACAAAGAACGAAATTCGGGAAACCGAAAAGATGGTGACTGACATTGCATTTAAATTTTTGAAGATTGTAGGTTGCAAGGAAGCAAGAAACAGGAAGAGAATTCCACAGGTGAGATGTGCAAGAAAAGAAACTATTAGAATAGAACATATGGTTACATCTTGCTATTTTATCAGTAAAATGATGAGACCTAATTGCCAATCTAGTAGTATGTTTAAATTCTTGCGGTCAAAGTACCAAGGAGGAATGACAGAGAAGCCATGTCACTGCTGTGAGATAGTGACTAAATTTGAGAGGCTAGGTTAGGACTGAAAACATTGCAGACCCTTCTTTGGATTTTATAAAGAATCTTGAAATATATAACAGGAATTCCAGAAAACATTTGAGAATAACTCTGTCATACACTTCACTTACAAACTCAACATTAACAATAAAATCCCTTTCCTTGACATATTAGTCGATGCTAATAGTGATAATTTTACCACCTCCCTTTACAAAAAAACCACTAGCAGAAATCTGTATTTACTCAACTACAAAAGTGAATGATGTCCTTACAGATACAAAATAGCTGTTATAAAAAATACGATTTACCAAGCCAAAGTAATCTTTTCTTTTTACATATTCTATAAGGAACTTAGCAACATTAAGCAAATCCTACACAACAATAATTTCCTTTACCATGTCATTGATGAACACATAAAATTAGCCTTAACAAAATTTAGAAAAAATGATGCTAGACCCCCACCTCCCTAATGCAAACAAAAATAAACACACCATTAACTTATTCTGTTGTAACCAAATGCACCTTAATTATAAACAGGATGAAAAAGCAATTAAAAATATAAATCACCAGTACATATCACTCACTGATCCTAACAAACACCTAAGATTTTATCATCTACTACAATAAGTTTAATATATATCGTCATTGGTGGCATCCGTCCGTCTCAAGAGACGATGGAGTAGCACGGTGCGCTATGTGCCTGGGCGGGATATATGGATAACTAGGGCTGCCCGGACATCTAGTTCCCCCTCTCAGCCTTGCTAGCAGAGTCCAAAGGAGAGGATAAACCAATAAAGTTTGGTACAAGCGTGGCTGCGGGAGTTGCTGGAAGGTAGCACGAAGTGTCGTCCATCCGCCTTAGGGGCTCCACTCTGGGTTTGAATTCAGAGTTGTCCTTCTCCTAGACCATTTGCCATCCAAGGCTATAGAACCCAGTCTGTCATGCTATTTACCCATAGCTGAAGGGAGAAGAGGAGGATTCATACCTTTCCCAAGGGTATTAGCACATAAGTGAATGTAATGGATTTGACTGGAATTCGAACTCAGCTCTCCAGTTCCTCAATCCAAGCTGCTATCCATTACTCCACCGACTACACGAATTTAAGTGTGCTATTAGAGTGGCATCTAGGTCACACCCGTTTACTGTTGAAATATCTAAATGCAACCACCACTTCTACTCCAACAGTTTCTTTTCTTGCACTTTCTGCTTGTGAAACTCCCTTCTATTTACTGATAATTATTCTTTCTTTTTATGTGCCATGTCCTTTTAGAACGTAGACAATCATGGCTCTCCACCTCTTCCTCTATCCCTTGCAGATCTCAACAAGTTTCTTCCCGCTGCTTTCTCCCCCAGACCATGTTCTGACAACCATTTGCTTAATCCTGCTAGGTATGTCATGTGTTGTTTTTCCTTGTCTTTCCTTCCTTCTATTTGACTTGTGAGTATCAGACACTCCAGGCCCTCCTTCCTCATTATGTGTCCCAGAAACTTCAGCTGCCTCTTCCTTGTTTGCATCTTTTCTAAGATCTCATCGTTGCTCACACGCTCGGTCCATGATATCCTTAATCTTTAAAAATTGAAATACAAAGTCAGTCACCATCTTCTATCTCCTTGAATCCTGTTCATCTTTTGCCCTTTCCTCAATCATCCCTATACTCAGTTCTTTCCTTCACTTTCACTCCATTTAAGCCCCCTGCGGACCAGCGGCATTCCCATCTTGCTTGGGGTGAAACAATATATATATATATATATATATATATATATATATATATATATATATAGTTAAATTCCCAGATGAATTCTGTGGACAAGACAGATTGGTATCAAATGTATGATTTTTTTTCCAATTGTCATTTGATATCATATATATATATATATATATATATATATATATATATATATATATATGTGTGTGTGTGTGCACATGCACACATAACAGGATGTTGAAAGTTTTTGTTTTGATCAAAAGAAGACTTCCCTAAAAATTAATTTAATCATTTTGTAAGATCTTGGGAATTGGCTTGAGCCAAGAACTTTCAGTATCCCCTCCCCTCTTATATATATGGGAGAGTTTATCAAGTTGGGAGCACAATGTTCAGACCTTTACTTTTTTTATTTGAGTTGTAATCTGTTTTGCATTATCATATTTTCTTGTGCATAATTCAAGAAACTTTGAACAAAAATTAGAGCATGGAGGAAAGGAGAAATCATGTTGTACACAAATACTTGTTTTTCAGAAATTTTTACACATCTTAAAAAACCTCTTATTTGAAACAGCAAGATTGCAAATACACTCAGCAGAACAGATAATTAACACCTTAAAATTTATTACCGGATGTGTGTAGTTAGCACCTTTCCCTGAAAATTCAAAAAATAAGTTTTGAAACCAAAACTAGGAGAAGAAACACGCAAGGGCAAAACATTCGAATCATTTCTATTCTTCAATATGATGAAAAATTAAATATTTTAATGAAAAATATTGAGATTTTAATGCATAATATGGTACAACTTTTCAAAAATAATTTACATTAGCATGGCTGTATTATAGAGTTTTATTATACTGAAGTATGTAATTTATTTGCTGTTTTTAGTCTCAGAAACACAGGGTCATATTATACACAAAAAATACAGAATTTTTCATATGATGGCTGCAACTTAATTTAATGCAATGTTGTCACTTGATCCATCTTCAAATATGGACATGGCTTTTTAGGGTTTTACATTGTTTTGTGTAAATGTGGCAACATTGGGCATATTTTTCAGTATTTGTTACATAAATGCAGCTTGACATGTAATGTATAATTTCTCTATGTGCGGCATCTTTGATGATTTTTGAGGCTTGCTCTAACTAGGCAGATGTAACCACATTCATTACACATTAGATCAAATTTTATA